ATCCCACTTCGCTGCGGCATACAACGTCGTATTAGCATCGTGCGTTTGCGCTGTGCTCAACTGAAACCGTTATTCACGAGGGCTGTGTCAGAACTGCGAATACCGTATCGTTGCATGTCGTTTTCGCGTTTTTGAAATTTTCCGACCTCTTTTATTGATGGGTTCGTCCATTAACACGTAATCCGCATTCAATAATTAATAATCTCAATAATAATTAATCTCATTTATAAATTAAACAATCTCGTTTCAACTGCTCAGTAGTTTCATCAAATTCACACTTCTGCAATATTACATATCTCCTTAAAAAGGATAAATTCTTTTTAGAAATTTTTATAAGTCGGTTTAACGAGAGAAACTTAACTCTCATCTTTTTGGCATCTTAATCTAGACATACTAGAATCGTTTTCGTCTCCTCGCTCTTTTATTTACACTTCATAAAAATTCTAAAAAAATTTATAAAGAATTATAAATATACTTTCAAGTCTATAGAATATAATTATATAAATAAATGATGGCAAATATTCACACACACACTTGAGTATTTTATTTTATTGCAAATTTAAAGAGAAACGCGATGAATATGAGTACAAAAAAATTGGCAACTTTCTAAAAATGAATTTAAGAAATTCATATTTTAAGATTTTCTTGTGTCGATATTTGAACTTTTAAGGAAAAATATTACGTATTTTAATTTATCGAAAAGTTAAATTGCTTAAGCATACTTAAGTAAAAATATATCTTTTTTAAAGGTTAAAAGGCAAGTAAAATCTTTAATAGTTTTAAGTTTATATGTGATATATTAATTTATTATAGTGCGCACACACACACAACACACACACACACAAATTTTATTAAAATTATTACAAAAACTAACTATATCTGAATCTCTTTTTTTTCTTGGTGATTAAAATTTGATGTGTGATACATAAATCTTAATCACATAGACAAGAATAAATAAGCTACTTTCGTAAAACTTATATATTATGTTTAATGTAAAGAAAACTGCGATATATAACGATAAATCATCTTTATTTTACATTTTGATTCTTTTTGATTCTGGCACAGTGGGATCAGAAACGATCTCATAGCAGTTTTATCTTTTTGACAGGCAATTGAAATGACTCAACTGTGTTTAAACCTCATAATTCCACCAATCCTTTTAGCCATAAACCGAAAATTCTCATTCCATTAACTTAAGCGTAATTCAAAACTCGCTAAAAATCTAGCGTTGAAAATGACAGGTTTAATCTTGAAGTTTTTTCAAATCAATATCTGTTAAATTCGTTAATCAATATCTGTCAAGTCCGAACTTCCTGGTAACGATGAAAGATTCTTTGTGTTGTCGATGTCAAAGAACACGAGTTGTCGTCGCATGTGAACTTAGCTATTTCAAATTCGTGCTCCTATAGTGCAGTGGCCGGCCGGAAAGAAATCGATTCAACGAGAAATTGGCAATTCTTAGCAAGCACTAGGTAGGCGTGGTAAATCGCGTTACCAGATAAACAGGTTCGGCATTTCGGCCAAGGTTGTCGGTCGCAGAAACGGCGGAGCGTCACTGCCACCACTGTCGCTACCGCATCTTCGCGTGTGCGCGCCAAGGCGGTGCATGTTGCGCATCTTGGTGTGTGTGCGGAGTCGTCGCCTTGTAACCGTTCAGTGGCGCTCAGTGGGCTTCATAAAAAGAAACACGCGGACTAAATACGTCGCGCGTGCGGATCGCCCGACACGGAGGAGAGAGAGAGAAGTCCGTCTCTCACATTCCCGCGATAGTTATATCGCGATGTACTCGATCTCTGCACGATCTATATCTAACGAACAAAATCTCGAAGAAGAGATGTTGAATCCTACACGCCGTCTAGGAAGCCCGTAAATTATCCACTTATGCGTTTCTATAGTTAGCCGGTAGACCACACGGAGCAGAGTCTAAATCCAAGGCTTGCCCGACTACTTCAGAGCTCTCCTAGAGACTCTTTGTGGCGGCAAGGAGCAGCAGCAGCGTATGGTTCTACCACAGGAGAGGTATTACGCCCACGCCCCGATAGATTAAGCACATACGTGGCGGTCGAAACACCGAGTGGTGTCTCTGTCTCTCTCCGAAAGGTCGATAAACGGAAGTGGGCGCGCGACGCGAGAATCGATGCATGAAGGACTAAAAATGCGAATCGCGAAACCGCGGCGGCGCGCCGCAAATGGTACACCTGGTGACACGTAGAAAATCTCTCGCCAAGTGCCCGTACTTACGACAACGACGACGACGATGATGATATGTTAACGCTATAGTCATCGTGGCGTGCAATACTCGCCGTCGCGGGTGAAACGGGAAGTAGCGACTGACAACCGAATGGAACCGCTTTATACTATTTCCCGACTCTGCCGCATGACTACAATGTTTGGAATCGTCCTGAGCGCGACTGTGTCGTGAGACGGACGGCGATTTAAATATGGAAATAGGGCACGATTCGCTGCTTCGTTGCCCTACAGTTTTCTGACGAAAACACAGAGACAACTGTGCAGAGCGTGCTCGGCTGACAACGTCAGGATTTCGAGTCGCCTCGGAAAATCGATCGTTCCTCTTCCCGGATTCTCGTTAGTGCGTTTTATTTATTTCATGCGCAGGCTATATGCAGTTCTACTTTACTCTCTTTCTCTTTCTCTCTCTTTCTTTCTATTATGAAACACCCTCGCCCGACATTCTTTGATTAAATTTCCCATGCCTGGCGCAGAATCACGCTCGAGTACGACGAACTTAACTGCGTTACTTTCATTGTAGTACATGCTCGTAGAATTCACGTTACATAGAACGGGTATATGGGACGGTTAGCAGTCGCACTACGTTGTAAATGTACGCGCGGACTAAATGGATCGCAGTAGTGAAGAGGCCGTTTGCCGCTCTCGACCGAAATATTGCTCCGGGGCCACCACTATCGATTACTGATTGAAAGTATTTTGGCTTGGGTTAGAGCAGAGGACGAACAGATATACGTCGTCGTCTGCGCCGCAAACGGGACAAATCTGGAACACTTGGACATTTCTAACCGAGTACGGTAGGCGTTCCGACAACTGATTAATAAGCACTTATAAGGACACGATGTATATGTATCTCTCTCTCTCTCTCTTTCTCTTTCCCCCTTCTCTCTCTGTCCCTCTCTCTTTCCTTCCCCTCTCTCCTTCCTTCCTTCCCTCGTTCCCTCTTTCTCTGCTTCTCTCCCTATAGCCGCTCCTGATGCAATAAACATCGAACGTGCAAAATCTCTCTCATGACTACACGGAGCGTACGATAATGTTTGGCGAAGGAGGCAATGTTCCTCGTAGAAAACGATATTGACGAGAGGTAATACACAGAGAAAATATTATAATGAAAATTACAATAAAATGTAATTTTGAACTATACAAAATTATAATCGAAATTACTATACATTTGTTTAAAAAATGTTATGCATGTTTGGCTCTCTACTACAAAATTTTGTAATTACCTGAATGTTTTTTTATTTTATATCATATGCCAGATAGATCGTGAAATTTATTATTTCTACAGTAATTTAGGAGAGACTGGGACTAGTTGACTACAAGGGAAAATTAGCAAAATTGATTATTCCTGTTATTTTCTAACAGTTTCTAACAGTTACAAAATTAAGCAAGCAAAAAACATGTAAAAAATAGTTTTGAAATTCCTGCTTACTTGATTCTGAAATCTAAAACATTAGAAATAATCGATTTTACCAACTTACCCCGGTAGCCAACTAACCCCAATCTCTTCTACACATTTTATCCTACACATCCTACACATCTTACACATTTTAATATAATCCTACTTTACGAAAAGAAATTGTAAAAAGACATAATTTTTATTACAATGTTTTCTTCGTATATTAAAAACTGTTGGCATTACGGGATTTAGCGTAATAAAAATTTCGCTATTTAATAACTTACTTTTTTTTTAATTACTATACCTAAATTTGTCAATAAATTTGTGTAAAATTAGATGGTACTTATAGAAAAATACAGTTTCACGAAAATATGGAATATACTTCATTGTAAGTCTGTATATATAATGATAATTGTAAATTATGAAGTTAATATTTCATTGAACTGAATTCCCAAGTATTTATTTAGAATAACTAAAAATAATTGATAATGTCATTCTTCTTCAATTATTTCCGGACCTCTTATGACCCTCTCTTGTCTTTATGAAAAATTATTTAAAATTGACGATCTTTGATAATACTTTGTCAGTGTGAACGAGAAGGATTTTATTTATATAAAAATTCCACTTGATTTCGACGTTAAATCTTTTATTTGAGTAAAGATTCCGGTGAAGTAAAACCTATTAAACAATTCAACAAAATGGTAAAATCTCGTTATTTGTTTGCATCGCCAAAGAGCGTCCGACAAAGGCCCTATTTCTTTCGTCATTTATGGCAGCTATTCGTGTCGCAATAGTTCTTTGTATTCCTTTATCTTTTTTTTTTTTTTTCATTTGGAGGTAGTTGTATCATGAAACAAGTTTCGTGAAAATTTAATGCAAAACTTGCACTACATACACAATGAAATATTATCTAACTGTTTGCACAATTAGAAAAAGATTGACTATTCGAGAGCAGAGATATTTGCAACTAAAGTTAGCACTTTTTATACGTGTTTCTTAAGGCTAACGTGTTGTTTCAAATTTTTAATATCTTCTAAATTATGTAAGATTTTGATGAAAAACTACTATGATATTGAAGACAAGTATTGACATTATAAATTTCAATATTATATTGGCTATTTTATTTAATTTCAATATATATTAGCCATTTTATTTTCAAAATAATGCAGTGAAAAATTCATAATTTATAGTAATTCATATATATCGAAATACATACATACACATATTTTTAATTACTTATATATTTTTTATTATTATTTGTGCATTTCTCTATTAGATAAACTGCATAAATAAAGCATTTATCAGTATAAAATAATAGTTTTTTTCCTATTTATAATATCTTGTATGTATATATTCTTAATTTCTTTTTAAATTAACTTTTATGATACTAAACAACAGTAATAGATTAACATGCAATATAAAGCAAGTGCAAAGTAAATGACAAATTAAGTAGTTAGTGTACTAAAAATATAGAAACGTAATTTTGTTTGATAAATAGTAAATATGAGCGATCCCTTAGATGCGCCACTGAAAATACGGCACCTAACGATCTTAAACAAAAGTTATTTCTGAGATTCCGGTGAAAAATATCACCAACCTCGCGACTCCTGTTAGATCCAACAGACTGTAGTTTACGGCACATCAAATCCGTGGGCTATTGACACGATCGACGGAAATGGTAGCGAGTACGAGGAGCCGCGAGACAAGTGTGATAAATCACTAGATTCTCCGCCGGCTATTGCCGTCGTATTGCGCCTAGGCAGTGGTTTATTGTCATAACGCGCGAGAGCGTATTGTACGAGAAGAGACTCGCGTGCCGTTTATACAATATGCGCGGCACCGAAGCGTTGGAAGATTTCTATCTGCGCGACAGATATATGTACGCGGTGCCGAAGTTGCTGAATAGGAGAGCATTCTTGCAGTTTTGACATACTGTAAAATCAATACTTGCCCGAAGTGCGATCGCCACGTCTTGCTGACAACGGCATCGACGTAACTCCGCGACACTTTAGCGAAAACAGCCAATGAAATTGACCGTTTGACGCCCACCTAGTTATTCCATGTAAAAGCAATTAATGCGCTTCATTATTATATTCTCGAAAAAATAAAAACGCGATAAAAGCGTTTCACGGTAAATTGACGTTTAATTGATTTCCACTTTGCGTATCTCTCTTTATTTTTATTTGAGACCTCAAAATATCTTTGTTCTCGGCCCGGATCGATTTTAGCGCGATTAATTATATCTCGCTCTATCTCGTTTTATACTTTTCGTTGAGCGAAGAGGAGGGAAGGGTCCGTAGCTCTGTTTTGCTCGGCCGTTTCTAGCGACGACCAACAATTCATTTGCTCTTATTCGAGCAGAAATTACCATGGTTGCACCAGGAATGACACGGTTGCTTTCAGATTTGCGACTCGCGCGGGGTCGAAAGCAGCGAGGTGGAAAAAGGTCGTGAGAAGGGTGGAGTGTCCTCTCAGTAGCGACGTGTAATTACGCGAGTGCTTTAATACCCTTGGTCACGCGAGTGTCAAGGATTGTCGATCTTTCTCTCTGCTTTTTTTTTCTTGCTGTGGAAGTAGCGCGGTCAATGATCCCCGAATTCGTTTCTCGCGCGCTAAAGCGTGAAACGTAGATTTGCCCAGAGGTTTTCACACCCATAGTTAAGACGTCGAGACTGCTTTGGTTTTTGAATGTTTCCATTGTGCGGACCCATGTATTTGTGTGTTGCTGTTAGAACGTGTGACGCCTGCAAACCGTCTCAAAAGTGAAGACAACTTAATCGAGGAAACTAATCCGTTAGTTTACACAGTGTTGTTGTTAGTAAACATCGGGCAATTTTTCTCTGGGTATTCATACTAGCCAAACTCAGAAGCAAGGTTTCCCGTACGTTTTAAACCTGCTAATCCATTTACCTGCTTAGTCAGGTAACCGAAATTTCCGACAATTCTGGCGTCTGTTCATCGTTCATGTAATAGACAATCGAAAGGTGATACTTAGTTGCTCACTGTCAGTTTAAGTAGCTGTTAACTCTTCTGTACAAATAGAGAGAGTGACTATAATGATAGTTTTGCATTTCATCAGTATTGACAGGTCATCGCCTTCAAATTGAAATATTAGTTTCTGCGATTTAACGATAATTTATAACTGGAAGCGTATGCGCCATGAATGTATGTTTATTCAATTTTTCTGTTTGGTAGACTATAACTTAAGATAATTTCTATATCTTTCAAAATTAAAAAATGCGCATAGAACGACCTATCATTCTGAACAAACTCAATGTAGTTATATCACTAGATGCCGTATTTTTCGTGGCGTATTGGAGGAGACCACTTATAAATTTATTATTCATTAAACAAAACTATATTTTCATACATTTATTTTATTATTTAAGTATCACTGTTGATTTTAACATGTTATACACACACACACAACGAATATGAAAAAAATAATTATTTTTATTTTACCAACGAGTGCTTCATTTATGCGTTAATTTATATATAGCGTGTTTAGCGTAACAATGCGCAAAAATTTTTTTATCTTTTGTTATTGCAAGTTGTAGTCTGCACAAAGTAGTTGAAAATTTACCTTGCAATCTTTTTGCTTAAACCGTCGGAAATGTCTAAAAAATCGTGCGTTACGTTGAACACTCTGTATAATAAAAATGTATAGATAAAAATAGAAGTATGTAAATATTTAAATATGTGTATATGTTTTTGCGTAAAGTATTACTATAAATTATGAACTTTCTACCGTTGCATTTTGAAAACAAAATGGTCAATTAACCCCTTTACTGTGGAAAGCAAAATTAGGCCAAAAATAAGTAGGCCAAAAATGTACAGGGCGTTCTACTCGACGTATTTTCATAAAATTTTGCATATAACTATTTTTGACGAATCTAAGGTCGAAATTAGAAAATTCAAAATGGCGGATTCAATATGGCGACAAAAAAGTATCAAAAATTTCAATAAATATAAAAAATTTCAATAAAGATATAGAAAACAGGCGCCGCCTGCGATCAGCCTGATTTTGATATATGTTGTTAAGGACATGGTCCTGAGTAACAATCAAAAGGTTTTAACCGTCGCTCATTGTTCGTTAAAGAGTTATTAACAAAAGAAGTTGCATCAAATGAATGTAATTTTTGGACAACATATATACAAAAACATCGAATTTATACGCTAGGAAAGTGCCTGCTACACACACACACACACACACATTGCTCGCCCGGGCGGGAGGGCTTGCGGTGTGTGCGTGTGTTCCTATTTGAAGTTTTATAAATAGAAAATAATAAAAATAAAAAAAGTGCCTGTCCCTAGCCGTGTAACTGGGGGGCTACGCCCGCACCGCGGGCCAAGTCTTTTGTGAGAAATTCTCATTCTTTAGTTTAAGTATAACAGACTTACCCTCCCTCCCCCGCCGCGGTGCGGAGGTCTGAGGGGCCAGTTACACGACTAGGGACAGATACCGTTTACATACTACACTTAATATACTTTGTGTTGATATTAATATATCTTTTTTTGTGAATAACTTTTTAACAAATAATGACCGCCAGTTAAAATCTTTTGAATATTACTTAGGGTAGTGGCAGACACCTTCCTAGCCTACAAATTTGATGTCTTTGTATATACGATGTCCAAAAATTACACTCATTTTATCCCAGATAAACTTTCGTGATCGTTACGACGTGCTGTAATCGATTTATGATAACTTTATAAAATATTTATTATATATATGGAGACACATATACCTACATTAAATGAAACATTTATATCATGCAATGATTACAATATTTTGTTACGTTCATGTAGCAATGAATTAACTAAAAGTTGCCCACAATTTATCATGTAATATTTATGAAATTGTACCATTGAAAATTTTAAATCATATTTAATGAAATATTTTATTTCAATTCGTGATGACATTTTGTAATCAATGTGTGAGGTAATTGTATGCGGTAAATATGATTGAATATAAACAACTTGTTTGTATCGCATAAAAGAAGGTAATGTCAGTATGAAGTACACGGATATCGATTTTAATACATCGATTCCTGTTTGGGTTTCAAAACTTCGATTCTTGAAACAATGATCGATAAAATAGGAGCTCCTAACTCCTTGAGCGAGGCAGCACACTGTATATATAATAATCAAAGCATGATGTCTATATGATGTAAATATGCTAAATCTAAAAAAAGAAACAATTTTATGGACACGATGTAAACTTTATATTAAGTTGTTCTATATTGAGTAAAAAAATTAATTACCAAAATATGTCTGTATTTGTTAGTAAACTGAATGACATATTGTTTTGAGTAAAAATTTAGATTTTTTTTCGTATTTCTATTTCGTCATTATATATGTTGTACATATGACTAACATGTGATAGGCTCATAAAGGATTTTATGCATTGCGTGATTTTACGCACCGTAAAGTTACTGCAACATTTACATACATCTGTCTATCTGGGACGTAATTTCTTTTGTTGATAACTTTTTAATAAACAATGAGCGACGGCTAAAATGGATGAGCGAAGGTCACTCAGAAGGATGATCTCTATGACATATGTCAAGGTCAACCGCATCGGAGATGGCGTCTGTTTTCTATACCTTTACCATATTCGGTATTTCTATATCTTTACCATATTCGGGGTTGTTAGATTCTCAAATATTCATTAGCTAAATGTGGGGGTAAAAATATTATTATTTCGATTATTTCGCTATTTTAAATTGAACGAAACGATATAAAATAGCATTATAATAAAATTGTTAAGTGATTGTTACCTGCAATTAAGTGCCTATTATCAATTTCAAAAAGGTCTTCAAAATGGATCTATCATCAAAAATTTTCAAATTTGACCTCAAATTTATATTCAGCGACCCTTAAAATTCCCTAGTGCCGTTTTTTATACAAATTCGCTAATTTATTTAACTGTTATTGAATTTTTTGCCAGTACGTGTATAGACGTACTCCACATTGAAATGGTTAATCCGTATATAAATCTATGTATAATGTCTGTATATTAGACTTTAATATCATATCAGTTTATCATTAAAATCTCACGTGTAGTTTAGAAGATATCAAAAATAAAAATTAAAAATGACACGCTTTAATATCATATCAGTTTATCACTAAAATCTTACGTATAGAAGATCTCACGTTTAAAAGATATCAAAAGTAGAAATTAGAAACACACTATTCTCAAGAAATACGTATCAAAGGTGTCAACTTTGATCGCAAACATCTCAGTCATCGAATCTCAGTCAATCTTTGTTTAATTGTACACGCAGTTAGACAATATTTCACTGTGTATGTAGCGTATCAAATTCTCATGCAATTTGTTTCATATAATCTTGATATCCGACAGATTTAATCTTTGGAACATGTCCAACATTAATCGACGCGATATTGTCATTTTCGCGCTTTGCTATAGTATTAAAGTTCGTTGATCGAGACGACTCACCCTTTCGATTCTTATTTTTATTCTGCGAACATCACGTTTGGTCTCGCACGCCACTTTGAATATCGTCTAGCTGGCAATTAATGCGCCCGAGAGTTTTTCCGGCGCGACGTCGCTCTTCATGGGTGGAGAGAGCGAGCGGGAGAGAGAGAGAGAGAGAGAGAGAGAGAGAGAGAGAGAGAGAGAGACAGAGAGAGAGAGGGAGAGAAGAGGCAAGGCGTTTTCATCTCTCACGCGGCAGCGGAAGGCGTATTTTTCGTAGCGCGCGGGCGAGAGAGCGACGAAGTGTCGTCGACGTCGCGACGCAGGACAAAGTGCGAGCGTTGCGTATGGGGAAGACGAGAGAGACAGAAAGATAGAGATAGAGCAAAGGACAAAGAGCGAGAGAGAAAGAGACAGGCAAGGTGAGAGATTCGTGGGGACAAAGGGACGTCGTCGTGACGGCGCAGACTCGGCGAACGGGCGTCCCGACGCCTTCTCGTTCCCTTTTATACCATGATGCTGCCAGTACTTCTCTAACGATTCACGTCGTACTTGCCTCATTCACGCGCATCGCGGAAAACGGCGTCGCAGCGCGACTCGCTTCTTAACTCCCTCTCTATTTCCATTCCTGTTTCTCCTCCTCTTTTTTTCCCAAGTCTTCCTCTCATCGCTTCTCTCCTGTGCGCGAAAGACGAACTGAAAGCAATTCGTTTTTCGATTACTTTCTTGACCGCCGCGACCGCGCGTGCGTGTGTGTGTGTATGTGTGTTGTGCACGCCATATGCTCACGCACAAGTGCGCGCGCACACCGTATTGCGTGCGTTCGTAGAGACGCGTGTGTCCACTGTGCGGTAGCTCGGATCCTGCCGCGTACGAGTGCAACGACTGTGCGTTACGTCCACATTGCAACGATAGACTCGCGATCGAAAGTTGCCCCAACTCCCGTACGATAGTGCCAGCAGGTAGATATATCCTGAAATTACAGTTTCACTGGGTTTCTGTTTGGAAAATAGCAATACATATATTGATCTCTTTCTTTCTTTCTTTCTTTCTCTCTCTCTCTCTCATTCGCTTCGAGCCTCAGCGGGTATCTCGTACTGTGTCCCATTCGCACGTGCTGTTATTCTTCCTTCCTCCTTCGCCATCGAGCAATTTATTTTCCGATCTGCGAGGTGTGCACTGGAGTGAGCCGCGCGTTACGGAGATCTGCGAGAAAAATAAATGCTGCTCGGGCTAGTTGCGCCGCCGTCGCCCACGCAGTAGCGCACGAAAGTACACCGTACAGTTGGAGATGCAGATTTGCACGGTAATGCTCGAGCGTTGTGAATGGTGGTGCGACCTTGCGGTTGGAACGTAAAGCACTGAACCGGCGAAACACCGTGCAACTGTACGGGTAAATCGACGTGAGCGACCATCACATGTCGTGGTATTGCAATTATGCAGCGCGCACGTAACAGTGACCTTATTTCACGAATAATAATCCTGAACTTTTCAAACATCACACATTGCTTTTCCCCTTCGAGGCGATGAATCAAAGCTCGTTCGCGGTTCTTCTCTTCGCTCTGAAATAACAATAAATGAGTTTCTTGTAACAGTGCATGCAATTTACTTTGACATCTGCCCAATTATTATTTGGTATTAATGCATTCTCATTAGTTGTAAGAATACTGCGTAGGAACTGAATAAGAATTTAATCGAATTTTATTCCCTATTTTTTATTTTTTGTTCTGTTTTAGTAAACGGGTTTAAATTTTACACATTTTACATCTTTCGTGCACAGTAATGTAGGAAAAATGTTATATCTTGATTAGGATTCAAGAGAAAATATAGTAAAAATTACAAAATTGTAGTAATCTTGGATTATATAAAAATTATGACTGAGATTAGTTACTATTACTATTTACTTAAAGATATCATGCACGTTTGATTTCTGTTACAAGATTATTGTAATTACTTGAATATTTTATTGTAAAATATATTTAAATTTTATTGCAATAAAGAAGAAATTTTGCAATTTTTGCGTAATTACATTTAATATACAAATAACACGTTATAGTACACATATAATGAAAATTTCAATATGAACATAGCCAATTTTAAGATAAAATTTATTAAACTACAAGTATTATATTATTTATACTTATAACTTTTAATATATCTACAACCTGATTTATAAATGCACACATTAAACATTATAATACTTATAAGTAAGTAATATTTATAAATTCGAAACTTAGTATTGTTTATCGCTTGAACTTTTCACTTCAAGCGTCCGCTAGATGGCTTTAATATCTCTTTCTCATTAAATTTCGATTGCCTCGTTAAATAACACACGCAACTAATCTGGGAAGTTGATTATATAATTACTTACATCTTACGAAACGTGTGGAGACCTCTAACATAGAAAATTCCATGTTTTTTTTTGTTCACTAAATCTAAGACGATCTTAACAAACATTAATAAATACGTAGTTGAATAATTGTCATATATCTTTTGGCAACATGAATACGAACTGTATAATCTAAATTATGTAGCAAGCTATTTTATCGACGATACAATTTTTACAATCTTTGTTATAATTCTTAGCTATGTCTTGATAGTAGCTCATCAAATTTATTATTTCTACAGTAATTCATATACTACTATATCCTAGATTGACTGATCAATGTGCGGAATAATCAAGTTTTAACCTGAAATAGTTTAGCATTTCAGCTTTTGACTGGTGTTTTTAGTCAATTCTAAGTGTGTGTGTGTGTGTGTGTGTGTGTGTGTGTGTGTGTGT